CCCTGAGCCGAGGGGGCGGCCGGGGCCCATCGGGGTCCTCCTGACGAAAAGCAGAGCGAACGAAGGTAGGCATGCTTGATGTAGGAAGAAAAGCAGTGTTGTGATAGGAATAACTAACTTTTTTTCTTTCTTTCTTCTTCTTTTTTTCCCGAAAGAGTTACTCTGTCGTCCAGGCTGGAGGGCAGTGGCATGATCTCGGCTCACTGCAACCTCCGCCTACCGGGTATAAGCGATTCTCCTGCCTCAGCCTCCTGAATAGCTGGGACTACAGGCGCCCGCCACCACGCCCAGCTAATTTTGTATTTTTAGTGGAGACAGGTTTCAACATGTTGGCCAGGCTGGTCTTGAACTCCTGACTTCAGGTGATCCATCCACCTCGGTCTCTCACAGTGCTGGGATTACAGGTGTGAGCCACCGCACCTGGCCAGGAATAGCTAACCTTTTTTTTTTTTTTTTTTGAGACAGAGTCTTGAGTCTGGCTCTGGTGCCCAGGCTGGAATGCAGTGGCGTAATCTGGGCTCACTGCAACTTCCACCTCCCATGTTCATGCAGTTCTCCTGCCTCAGGCTCCCTAGTAGCTGGGATTACAGGCATGCACCACCAAACCTGGCTGAGTTTTTTATTTTTAGTAGAGATGGGGTTACACCATGTTGGCCAGGCTGGTCTTGAACTCCTGACCTCAGGTAATTTGCCCACTGCAGCCTCCCAAAGTGCTGGGATTGTAGGTACAAGCCACTGCACCTGGCCAGCTAACTTTTTTTTTTTTTGAGACAGAGTCTCACTGTGTCACCCTGGCTGGAGAGTGCAGTGGCGTGATCTCGGCTTATGCAACCTCTGCCTCCCAAGTTCAAGTGATTCTCCTGCCTCAGCCTCCCAAGTAGCTGGGATTATAGGTGCCTGCCACCCTGTCTGGCTAATTTTTGTATTTTCAGTAGAGAGAGGGTTTTGCCAGGTTGGCCAGGCTAGTCTCAAACTCCTGACCTCAGGTGATCTGCCCGCCTTGGCCTCCCAAAGTGCTGGGATTACAGGTGTGAACCACCGCGTCTGGCCGAGCTATCTCTTGATTGCACTTAACCAGCATTGTACCCAGCATTGACCTAAATGCTTAACACCACTTAGTTCGTTTAATCCTCAGAACTCCCTAATGGGGGAGGACTCTTGTATCTCCATTTTATAGACAAAGAAACTGAGGCACAAAGGTTCATTGACATACACAAAGTTGTGTCATCAGTGGAGGAGCCAGGCTCCAGAATTTTGGCTTTAAACTAGGAGAACAGTGATTCTCAAGGCAGTGCATCATCTGGGCACCCGTGAGAAATGCGGACTCTCAGGCCCAGGCCAGCCCCACTGGATCAGAAACCATGGGATGGGGCCGGTGCAGTGCCTTACACCTGTCATCTCAGCACTGTGGGAGGCCGACGTGGGCAGATCACTTGAGGTCAGGAGTTGGAGACCAGCCTGGCCAACACGATGAAACCCCATCTCTACTAAAAATGCAAAAATTAGCTGGACGTGGTGGCGGGTGCCTGTAATTCCCCTCTTCTCGGGAGGCTGAGGTGGGAGAATAGCTTGAACCCTGAGGGGCAGAGTTTGCAGTAAGCAGAGATGGTACCACTGTACTCCACCCTGGGTCACAGAGCAAGACTCTGTCTTGGAAAAAAAAAAAAAAAAAGAAACCATGGGGTGGGCCCCCAGAGTCTCTGTGTTGATAAGCTCTCCTAGTGAACTTGCTGCATCTCAGTTGGAAAACCACAGTGGAGGACAGTACTCCGCCTAATCGTTGTTGAGTTTCTGCTCTATGCAAGGGGCCATGTTGAATATTCTTTTACGTAGTCCTCACAGGAACCCTGTGTGTTAGGAGACTTTGTTCCTGTTTTACAAGTGAGGAATACCATGATAGAGAGGGGTTTTATTTATTTATTTTTGAGATGGGATCTCACTCTGTCACCTAGGCTGGAGTGCAGTGGCATGATCTTGGCTCACTGCAACCTCTGCCTCCTGGGCTCAAGCAATCCTCCCAGCTCAACTTCCCCCACCAACAGTAGCTAACTGGGATTACGCCTGGCTAATTTTTTGGTTTTTTTTTTTTTTTTTGGTATACACGGGGTTTCACCATGTTTCCCAGTCTGGGATCCACGTGCCTTGGTTGGGATTACAAAATGCTGGAATTACAGATGTGAGCCACTGTGCCAAGCCATACAGTGGAGTTTACAGGGGACATTTATAGGTGAGGATTCTGAAACTCAGACTGGGGAAGTGACTTGCCCATGGAAGCCAGTAAGTAAAGGTGGAGCTGGAACTCAAACTCCATCCTCTGGAAATAGGTGATTGGAAACAAGTAGGTGAGTGAGCAGGGCTTTTGAGCCTAGTGTTGAGATATGTCTAGCACTATTTCTTGTCTTCTGACTTAAGATTCCTTGTAGCATGTAAAATCTTTAATTTCCTTTTGTTCTGTTAATTGTTCTCATTCTAAGAGGAAAAAAGATAAAGGGCACTTGAGAATGCAAAGGAAAAGACTTGCGTTTAAGGTTTGGGATTTGCATTTTGATAGCCTATCAGATGAGAGGGTTTGTTTTCTTTAGTTTTTTTGTGAAGAGTTGAGTTATGTAACTAGGTGTCTATTGAAACAACTGAAGAATAATGCAAAGATGTGAATAGTGACATACCTGGAGTCCAGTCCATGAAAATAAATGAGTCCGTTGAGATTGCAATATCTCCCTGAGGGGTGTGCATCTTAGGAAGTGTAAGGATCTCACAGTGGTTTTTTTGTTTGTTTTTGTTTTGTTTTGTTTTGTTTTGTTTTTTTGAGACAGAATCTCACTTTGTTGCCCAGGCTAGAGTTTAGTGGTACGACCTCCACTCACTGCAGCCTCCATCTCCTGGGTTCAGGCAATTCTCCTGCCTCAGCCTCCCGAGTAGCTGGGACTATAGGCACCCACCACCATGTCCGGCTAATTTTTGCACTTTTAGTAGAGGTGGGGTTTCACCATGTTGGCCAGACTGGTCTCGAACCTCAGGTGATCTGCCCACCTCGGCCTCCCAAAATGTTAGGATTACAGGTGTGAGCCACTGCACTGGGCCAATTCCACTTTGTAAAAGAAAAATGTTGCTACATTTTATTAAGTTTTCACAATAATTTGGCTATCATTGGCTAGAGTTGTGTAAGAATTAATCTTTAAAGAAATTCGACAGTAGGTGAGACCTACATTTGATTAAGAAAAAATATGATCCGGCTATTACATTTCATGGCACCAGTTGTTTTTCTTAGAAGCTGGTCAACTGATTTTTAAATCTTCATTTGTGAAATGCCCACATACACACCGGTATATCTATTTGCAAAATTATAATGAGTGCATTTTTTAAGAGGATTGAGGAATTGAGGAAAAATGCCAGAGAGATGTCACTCAAGCTTGTCTCACTCAGCCTTCTGTTCTGGGCTGTGAGACTGTTTGACCACTAGAGGATCGCCATCCATGAAAGTAGTTTTGCCTTTCTCTTATTCCATTCTTGACTATCAGCTTCCTAAAGGACTAGGGCTGGACCACAACACTTCTAATCTTTATGATAAGATCTGGCTGGCAAGTTTACCATAAATCATTTAAAACTTATTTTAAAATCGACTTCATACCTTTCCTGAATTGTGGAAAGTTACTTTGTTTTGTAATTACAAGATTTTTAGTTTGAACAATAATAAAAAAATTTGTGCCTGTTTTAAAACCTGCTCTGTTGTGGTGGTTTCCTAGAATGTGAAAATTTATTCTTAAAATAATGTATTTTTACAAGTTTATTAAGTAAAACCAGAATAGTCTAAGTAGCCTTGAAAGTATTTAAAAATATACATCCTTAGTAATTACAATGTTTTTGCTTTTGATAGCAATTCAGAGTCCATAAACCCCCAAAGCTATTTTGGTTTTAGTTAAATGCTTTATTAATTGCTTTGCCTAACTTCTTTACCCCTTTTCTTCACCCACTGAATTCCTTTCAATGCCAAACTTCATATAATCTAAAATGCTGGATTTTTTGCAGTGCCTGCCTGTATGTAGACAGCCTCATTGTCAGCAGAAAATGCCTATTAAGGTGTGCTGAATTGTTTTTTTCTCCCCAACATTTTATTTGAAAAGTGTTAATTTGGAGTTCGAGGCCAGTCTGGCCTACATGGTGAAACCCTGTCTCTACTAAAATACAAAAATTAGCTGGATGTGGTGGTGGGCACCTGTAATCCCAGCTACTTGGGAGACTGAGGCAGTAGAATCGCTTGAACCTGGGAGGCGGAGGTTGCAGTGAGCTGAGATCATGGCCCCGCACTCCAGCCTGGGTGACAAAGCAAGATTCTGACTCAAAAAAAAGAAAAAGAAAAATGTTAATTTTATAGCAAATACACTTATAACCTTCACCTAATTTTACCAATTGTTACCATTTTGCCACACTTACTTTCTTTTTTCTCCTCCTGTTTTTCCTTTCCTTCTGCTCCATCACCCTCCCTGTATCTCTCCCAGTGGGTTTTTCGGTACTATTTAAGTAAGTTGCAGGCAACTCACCATTACCCATAAATATTTCAGAGGTATCTTCCAAGGATAAGAACATTCTCCTACATCAGTCACCGTAATACCATCATCACACTTAAGAAAATTAGCATTAATATCGCTTTCATATATTATAGTTCATTTCAAATTGCTCCAAATGATGTAACTCATTCTCCTCCCACCCTCCACTGGATCGGGGGACCTATGATAGTTCATGCATTGCATTTGGTTTTTATGTGTCTTTTAATCTAGAACAGTTTCTCTGCCTTTTTTGTTTTTTATGGCATTGACTTTTTTTGAGGAGTTCAGGCCAGTCATCTTACAGAATTTCCCATATACAAAATTAACTTTTTAATATATATTTTAAAATAGTCCTATAAACCAGACTAAGTTTTCTGAACAAGTTGATGACATATGTGTATGTTTATGTGTTTGTCTCCTAGAGTATGGTCTCCGGCTTGGGAGTCAGATCTTCATAAAGGAAATGACCAGAACAGGTCTGGCAACTAAAGATGGCAACCTTCACGAAGGAGACATAATTCTCAAGGTGGGTAGATGAGGGCAGAGAACAGTAGTGTGCATACTGCCATTCATAGCCTGCATGTCCGCTTTCAGCACCAACACAGTGAGACTTAGATGCAGTGAGGTCAGTGTTGACAGAGGTGGCAAGAGCAGCATAATGAGATGATTTTTATCAGAAAAACCAGACATCAAGGGTTGTAACAGTTTAATGTCAGTTTAGAAAACAAAAACAAAAAACTCCATGAATATTTTCTTCTTTCCTGTTTAAAGTTTAGGTCCCTATTCCTTAAACTAAGGAAAGATGAGAAGGAAAGTTGGTGGTATATGAATGCTGAATATTTAATAGGTCTTGTAAACCTCTCCAGTCAGGAAACACGTTCCAGTAGTAAACCAAACCATTGTCTTGAGCTTGGAAGTTAAATAAATTAGCAGAGTAACTTACACCTGTATTTGGGATCCAGGCATGCAGGATTGTATTTAATTTAAAGGACAATTCATTTTTATTGAGTCATCCTAAAGCCAATATCTGTTTGAATATCTGAGCAAAGCCTTTACATTTTTAAAAGGGGAAAATATGAATTTTCTACTGTGAATAATTTTATTGCATTTAACATTACCATTCTTTATAAACACAGATCAATGGGACTGTAACTGAGAACATGTCTTTAACGGATGCTCGAAAATTGATAGAAAAGTCAAGAGGAAAACTACAGCTAGTGGTGTTGAGAGACAGCCAGCAGACCCTCATCAACATCCCATCATTAAATGACAGTGACTCAGAAATAGAAGGTAAATGAAGAGGAGGCTGTGAGCTTAGCTGGAAGTGAGGAAGGCCGTTGCTTCCCTATTCTATTTAGTGTAGCTATCCAGCTGGAAGTTAAATTTCCAAGGAAAACCCCCTTGAAACCTTAATCCCCAAAGGTCACTGTTTGGTTGTAATTTGCTTATTAAAGTGCCTATTGAAATTAGGTTTCCAATATAAAATTCTGGTGCACTTGCAAACTCTCAGAGAACTATTAATTAGGCAATTGAAAGCAAAACGTGTCAGTAAAAAAATGTGTGTTTGAGTGGTTCAAAGAGCTAACCATATCATGTATATATTTGCTAGTTGCTCATTGTTTTTTTTGTTTTTGTTTTTTTTTTTTGAGACAGAGTCTTCCCTCTGTTGCACAGGCCGGAGTGCAGTGGTACAATCTTGGCTCACTGCAACCTCTGCCTCCTGTGTTCAAGTGATTCTTCAGTCTCAGCCTCCTGAGTAGCTGGGATTACAGGCGCCTGCCACCACGCCTGGCTCATTTTTGTGTTTTTAGTAGAGATGGAGTTTCGCCATGTTGGCGAGGCTGGTCTCGAACTCCTGACCTCGTGACCCGTCTTGTCCTCCCAAAGTGCTGGGATTACAGGAGTGAGCCACCAGGCCCAGCCTTAATTGCTCATTCTTTAAAAGTGGCAATTAGTATTTCTAATAGAGAAGATAATTTGGAGGATAGCTAAGACAAGTAGATGCTAAAAAAGAATCAAAGTGGCTAATATTGTGGCATTCATTAGTTAGCAGTCTCCACCACCTCTTCCCTTTTAAAGAGCTATAGTCATTACGTGAATATGAATTATACATAGGATAACATTTTAACCTTGTAAAAATTGCCAATAGAAATAGTTAATCACAATATATCCCACTGAACCATCTACTGTTGCTTTT